TCTCCAACAGGTAACAAAAGCATTGAAAATAACCTCAAATAAATCTATATTCATTTGGAGGTCTTTCTTTCTTCTTCCAGTTATTAAACAGGAGACCCACAGAGAGGGAGATGCTTCTCCATCAGGAGGATGGAGGACCTGTTGGTATCTCTGCAGGACTTGCTAGAGATATCCTTCAGGCACCGTGGGTTGTGTTTAGAGGAGAAATCTTTCTTTAATAGGCAATTTCCAGCTTGGTTCTAGAAAGTGAATTTCATACCTAATCACAAAACTGGTGCCACAGGACTTCATGCACAGTGGTGTACCCAGTGTGGAGAGCCTCACCTCGCCTTTGCCATGGAGCTCAAGCACCAACAGTCTCTGCAAAGAGTGCTTTAGACCCCATCGACCTCTCTGTTGCACATCAAAGTCCAAAGGCGTAAGCAGTGAAAGAAGAGTTGACCCAAAGAAACAAGAAACGAGCGGTAAATAAAGACCAAGTGATCACCCTGCCAAGGGACACGTGCGTGGCACAGGTTTATAGTTAGCAATGCAGTTTGTTTTATTAGTTATAAATAAAGTACAAAAAATCCACCAAAAGTGAATCTAAGCATTTACACAATTTCTAATGTCTTTTCATTTCTTCAATGCACTATTGCTTTAATATTAATAATAAATATTTTTCTAGCTTTCTTCTATAAAATAGTCTATGTAGCAAAATGTTGCACAGCACAACAGAACAGCAGTAGGAGTACAAAAATGTCCCTGCACAGCTCAAAACCACAGCTCCAGGCTACACAGGAAGAAGTGCTACAGAGCAACAAGGAAAAAAACACAGAGAGGTTTTAAAGCCAGGGTAAGGCAAAAATCAACAAAGCAGAGCAGCACCCTGAAGGGACAGAGAGAAAAAAATCAAGCCAGTTGTGCCTTTCTAACCCAAAAAAGAATTGCATCCAAAGCCATTTTGGGGGGCGAAGGCTACCGGCTGAACATCACATGCATCTAACCCTACTTCTGTCCATACATGGCCAAGCATCTGCGCTGACCAAGAGTGGTTATGGCTTAAAGCTTAAAATATTATCAAAGGTGCTCTAACCCTCTTGCGAGGCTCGAGCACTTGATGTTCAGGAGCCTTTTGGGAAAGGGCAGTGTGCTGTGAGAGCAACATGGCCCTGGCTGGGGATGGGAATATTTGGCCACCACTGTGGGAGTGGGATGTCAGCTTGGGGGTGACCCTCTCCTTGGGGACGGGAGGGCTCCAGTGCAGGTTCCAGCTCTACGGTGGATTAAAAAGCTCCAAGTTGAGGTTTTCCCCTTATCATGTGGGGTGAAACCAACAGATCAAGAAGATCAGTGTTGAGGGCTTCTGCTCCATGTGTGTTTCACAGCTGGGTTTGCAGTAAATGCTCATGGCCAGGCATTACAAAGGGATGCCAAATCACTCCCGCACCCATCTCAGCCCCTCTCAGCTAGACCAGGGGTCAACCCTTAAAAACTGGAACAAATCCCTCAGTTCTGTTGTCTCCAAGCTCAGGCTCAATCGATTGCATCCTTCATCCTCCCTGCAGCGCCCAGCTGGGTGCACGCACGGAGGGTGAAAAGAGCCAGACTGAGCACCGATAGGCACCAAAAATTGAACAGAGCTACCAGGTCTGGGCTTCTTTCCTCAGCTTTTGAAGCAATTTGCAGAGTCTTGCACTAAATGCATGCATTGCCCCAAGCACAGCCTTGTAGCGGGGGCCCGCTGGGTATTATTGCAGGGTAACACATGCAGCAAGAGCAGTAGCATAGCTGGCGGCGGCGGGGACAGGGCAGTAGCAGGAATCGGCCAAAACATTTTGGTTTTGCAGTGCGCCTTTAATCACCTTCAATGCGCAAGGACACAAGTGAAAGGATCACCAGAGTTTGATTATGAGTGCAAATAATATTCATATATATGTGCTAAACACAGTCACTATATTGCAGTTTTCCACTATGTCACAGCATACAGAATCAAAGGTTTGCATTTTTATGGAATGTATCCAAGGTAACAGCACCACAGTAATACAGTTTGTAATCACACACCCTGATTTTTTTCTCTTTTTTTTTTTGACAAGATAAGCATTACCCCCCACATCCCATGTTTAATTTTTTTTTTTAAAGTACCGACGCATGCAAAGCATTCCATTCCCAGAAACAATGCAAAAATGAGGTAATAGGAGTAATAAAAAAAATTAGTATTAATTTCTAAATAAATAAATTATAATTAAAAATGCAAAAAACAACTATAAAAATAATTAAATAAGAACCCACAATATCTACAAGTTAGTCATAAATTATGATTGTTAAATATAAGGCATTTAAACTCACAAAACCCTGTAAACTATCAATGTTTTGTTCCTAGAGATTTTTTTGTTGTTTGTTTCATTTTTAGACTCACCCTATTATCGCAACCTACTCGTACAAATTATTTAAACGCAAAGGAACCTGACACACCGATGCAACTCCAGACGCTGTAAATTCGCACGCACCTCGGGATCAGTCACTCACACGAGACCATGGGAGTTTGGTGCTTTTCTTCACCAAGGGGTTTTTTTTTTGTTTTTTTTTTTAAAAACTGTGCTTGTTCATTAGGCAAATAGTAATACTTTCGCATAGGCTTTAAGAAAAATGCGCCTTTTGGAAGCGCTCCTCCTTTCCTCCCTGCCCGGCCAGGGTCCCAGTCGCCCTGTTCCTTCCCTTGCTTCACCCCCAGCTCACGCCTGGACAGACCAGACGGGCTTACAGTGTATTTCATTAGCAAAGCCTTGCTTTGCTTGTCCATATTATTAGTAATATTAGTATTATTTTTAATGCTGCTTCGATCTGCTGTTGCTGGAGCAAGCCCCATAGCTATCGCAGGACCATTCTTTGACCCAAGGAGTCCACAGCCCACCGGGCAGGGCTGGGACCACCACATCCCCTAAGAAGCCATCGCTTGCACTGGATGGCAAATATATCAAAGAATCAAAGAATGGTTTGGGTTGGAAGAGACCTTTAAAGCTCATCTAGTCCAACCCCACTGCAATGGGCAGGGGCATCTTCAATTCCATCAGGTTGCTCAGAGCCCTGTGCAACCTGACCTGGAAAGTTCCCAGGGATGGGGCATCCACCACCTCTCTGGGCAACCTCTCCCAGTGCCTCACCACCCTCACTGTAAACAATTTCTTCCTTATACTTTCCTTATATGCTACCATGTGTCCCTCTCCACTCCCTCCTACCTGCACAGGAACAGCAAGAGAGGAGCTCCTGCATCCTTGCACCCTGCAGGGCTCCCCTCTTCCCCTCCCCACTCCAATTGGGAAAAAAAAATCTCTGGGGTACCTCTAAGGTTGGTGTTTTCCAATTACAGCTCACAGGAATCCCACGATCTCTCCAACGGTAATTTATGGTTGTTTCTACTTGGAGAGCATCACTTGGCTCCAGCAAAACAAATGCTCGAGGGAGCCAGAAATCATCCCCACCACGTGAGCATTTTCAATATATAGTGTTCCCAACTAATTCCCCTTGCTCCTTGGCATCTTTATTTTGCTCCCCTATGCCAAAAAAAAAAAAGAAAAAGTGTTTAAAAAAAAAAAAAAGAAAGAAAAGGGTTTTGGTTCTGAATGCCAGTACTCCAGAGGGTTTTCAGCTTGGTCCTTACCGTTGGTGTGCTGAGGTCTTAACTTCAGGGGGAGGTTGATTTGCAACAGCTCAGTCCTTCGGGGACTACCTCCTAACTCTGCTTTGAGCATTAACACCATTAGGCTTCATTTGGGCAACCACTCCATTCTCCATACGGATACGGCCTGAAACGTGTATGCAAACGCATGCGGGTGCAGGTGTGCGGGCTTTGAGGCAGGGGTACAACCCAACCCCTCCAGAAAGCAGCAAACCCCCCTTCCAGCCTGCCTTCCCTTCCCACACCAGAATGCTCATGGCCTCAGCAGCACCCTGCGAGCACGGAGTTTTCTCCCGTCCTGTTACCAAAGATGCTTTTGCACGGGTGAATAGTTGGCAACACACATCTCCCTGCGCCTCTCTGGCGTTATGATACCCCAAAGCACAGCTACAGGCGCTGACCCCAGTAACCATCATTTTGTACCAGCCCTGGTAGTGGCTGCTGAAGCCAACCAGCCTCATTGCTGACAGGAGAAAGCGTCGCGGACAGTGGCAGTCATGAAGACAGCCCTTCCTTGGATTTCAGTATGCCTAGCTACTTCATTCAGGTACGGAAAGCAAAGGAACAGCATCTACTCCGATATTGTGCCCTTACAGAGTGTCCAGCACCAGCAGATAAGCAGAAGCGAAGCTTCTCCCTATTGATTCATTCATGTCATTCCCAATTTTTATTTTTTTTTAAGCTTCTTTAAATTTGCAACACACTGTAAACGCAAGGAAAGGAAGCACACGCGGCTGAGGCAAAGAGCGCAACCCTTCTGACTGTAAACAGGATTTTGCTTTTTCGCCTCTTCCCCCCCAAGGGTGAGAAAGCTTGACCTCTTTATTCCCCTTCTGCAATGTATTAATCAGGCACCAAAATAAGGAATCTATGAAAAAATATTTGGTGCAAATTAGGTAACAGCAACATGTCCACCACAAGATGAGTAGGGCATCAAACACAACATTTCTTAAGCTAACATGCTCCAGCTGCCATCCATAGAAATAGCTAAAGGACCCCTAACATGTTTCTACGTATTCGAGAGGTATATATACAATCCTCATGAAATGCAGGATTGACAGGCCAGACTACCACAACTAGTTCCTTCATGTTCAACACTAAATCTTCTGCAGCACGGGGTCTCTGAGCTCCGGGAATGCCAGCTCCCTTTCACCGGGCCCGTATCCTGCGTATGTGCAATATCTCCTACTGCTAGATATTGTACTGCCATCCCCTCCTCCTCCTCACTAACATGCCTGCAGACTTTTCCTCTCAATCAAATGGCTCAGAAGGCAAAAATTTTGCTGCAAGGGTTTATGGCCATATGACCTGGTAAGGAAAATGGTGTGTCCAGCCAGTCCTTTCAGCTGTCCGAGCCGAGCTGTGTTTCAATGTCCACCCTGCAGATCGGGCACTTCTTGCTGGTGGCCAGCCACTGGTCCACGCACACTTGGTGGAAGAGATGCATACAGGGCAACCGCCTGCAGAGAGAGAAGTACCCGCCCCGTTAGGATGGAGTAGCTCCAGGGGACCAAGAAGAGCCAGAAAGCAGCAGCCAGGGCTGCTTCAAACATAGGAAAGTACCAGCATAGTGACACCAGTGCTGCCTAGGTCCTGTGCCCTCCCCCAGCCACACCGGCTCACATAGGGCAGTAGGTCAGAGATGGTGCCCTTCTTGGCTAAAAGCCTTTTAGAAAATCTCCCACCCCCCTGAACTGAGTTGTTCCAGTTACTAATTATCCCAGCTGCTGCTTTTTAACCTTTCAAGGAATACTAGGTTATACTCCAAAGCCTCTTGGTTCTTCATCATTGCGACTTGTTAGCAGTCAGGTGGGTCTCCACCGCTCCTATGTGGGTATCTGATGTGCTCCAGGGAACGTGGTTGGTTTTCACCTATACCACCTTTGTCATCTCTTCACTCACCCTCGCCAGCCAGAGGGACCCTGAACCACAAGGACCTACAGCAAGAGGATCAGAGTTTTTCTTGATGGTTTAAGGCAATTAAAAGGTGAGGAGCAGGACCAGATAGTGCAGCTGCACTGCCCACCTGCAGCTCCTTCAGCCATGGCAGCTCAGCCCCTTGCAGTTGTTTGTCCCCATCCTCTGTCATGAGCAGAGATTTGACCCAGCCAAGAGCCTGGGGACATCTGTGAGGGATAACTGGGGCTTTGTTGTTGGCTTAGGATGGCTCCCTGTGACCGTGCGGGCAGAGTAATCTCACTCATTCTACAATAAAGCAGCTCTGTCCTGGCCACGAGCCAAACTCCTCTGGACTTCACTCTCACACTCCCTCTTATCATAGTTTGGTCATCTGTCAAGCTCAGACATTGATGTCCCCAAGCTCCAGATGGCTGTCTGAGACCTGGGATCCATTCTTCTCTGACACTGGCCACCTGGCCCATCAGCACAGCCTTGAAGCAGATGATCCAAACCCAGGAGATACTACAAAAACTTGACCCTCCCACTGCTGCAGAGCTCTTCCTGCCTACAGCCCATACCAGTTTCCATCTACATGGTATTTAATTTCCCAGACCCTGAAACAGGCCAAGTGAGTTTGTCAGGACAAGAACAGGGACAACTCCACCAGCACATGGTGGCCTTAATCCCAATAAACACAACTGAGATGGCATCGAGCAGATGGAAGGATCATACCTGACGTCTTCTCCATCTTCAAGCATGGACAGACAGATTGTGCATTTCTCATCAGTGTCTGACTCCTCTCCATCCTCTTGCTCAGCTTTGCCCTCCTGCGGTCTTCTCTGCAGCAAGGTTAAAGACATAATTTGGTTAGGACTTGACTTTCTAGAGCTCTCCCAAGTCTAGGTAGTTGCAGAAAGGCAAATAATAAGGGCTTTGTCTATCAGCCAGATCGTTCAGCCTGGGGAAGCCAGCCCAGCCAAAACAGCCAGTGAGGGGAAGATGCCACCAACATGCTGCTGGTCATCATGTCTCCTCCTGGGACCGGTGGCAGTGGGGCTGCGGATAGTGCCTCAAGGAGCAGCCTGTACTCTGCTGCCCTAACACAGGCACCCACCACCTCCTCCATCCTCCTTGCAGTGGGGATGGCCCGATGGTCTCCTTTGCTGGAGGTTTTTCCTGGAGAACCCAAAGCATGTGGGGCCACCACAGCCAGGAGGTGCCAGCTTGGCCACTTTAGCCAATGGGGCAGTGCTTAGCCTGTTAGCTCTTCCCTTTTCTCTTCCCCCTCCCCCATCCACTCCTATTAATAGCACTTTTCTGGATCCACTGGAGATGCAGAGATAAGCACAGCAGGAGTTGACTCACTTCCAACTTGGGCAATGCAATGTCCCTCTTTGTTACTGCCCACCCAGGAATGACCAACACATGAAAATAATACACGAATAAGGACTTTTCTCATTTTCTATTTAGCACAACCCAAAAACATGGCACCCATTTCCTTATGGGCAGGAGATCAGCTCCAACAGAGGAAATGCCTCTTGCAAAATGAGGGGAGGACAAGCTTCCCCATGCCATGGAGCCAGCACCCTCACGGCACGGCGCACGGGCAGCGCCGCTTGCATGCAGAATGGGGTGGGTTTGCATGCACGAAGTCCCCTTACCAGGTGCGGACAGGGGGGAAATTGCACCCGCTGGGTGGGAGAAGGTTGAGACCCTTTTGAAAATTTGGCCCGCAGCTTCCTAGCCTAGAAGTGAGAAACAGCCAGCTGAGCTACACCACCGCTTCAGCCCAGGAGCCCCACAAGATATTAAAGCACCAATTCTGGATTTTACATTCCTCCCCCATTTTGGGGAATGTTGATGGCACCAGGTTGCCAGCCCTGAGGATTGCAACCCACCAAAGTCCTTCCTTCTGTCCGCTCCATGCCCACAACCCTTGGCCAACAGAGAGGGGCTGGCGGCCATGCCGTGGTTTTGGGGTGCTCACCTTCTTGTACTTGTGGGGGAAGGTGAACCTCTCAATGGTGTTCTGGACGGCACCTCGGCTCACGCTGCCCAGCCTGTCCTCCAGCTGCAGCAGCTCCTGCGGTGCAGGAACAGCAGCAAAGCACCATCAGCATTGCTCCCAGGATGCAGGATCCCACCACCCCTCCTTGCTGGGGACCAAGGCTGCCTCCTGCCCTTTCCTTGGTGGAAATTTCCATCAAACCCAAACCAGCCACACTTTAATGTTTAACCTGAGCCCTGGGACTTGGGTTAGTTACTAAGGGCTCAAGGCAGAGCTGGATAGCCAGTATTTCAAAAATTAGGCTGGAATTTGAGCTCTGTTTGACAGGCTGGGAAACAAAACCCCATAGAACTGAAGCACTTTGTTCCCAGACATGAACTGAGCCAGAGTCAAGCCCAGCCAGACACAGGCACGCTGGAGTAAACCATCTTCCAGTTATAACTAAAAGTGCTGCAAGACGCAATGCAACTGCCATGCCACAAAACAGTCTTACAGTTTTATGCCAGAGCTTGCATAGATCATAGAATCATAGAATTGTTTAGGTTGGAAAAGCCCCCTAAGATCACCAAGCCCAACCATTCCCCTACCCCTGCCATCCCCTCCCTA